CCTTGAGCAGAGAGAGCAGGGACTTTGCTGAGGGGAAGGCAGAAGTCTGGGTGAGATGAAAGCCCACGGCCCCGGTGGGGGAGCGGTGCTGGTGGCCGTTCTTCCCGCGGGAGCAGCCGGTGCCAGGGAAGTGCCAGGGAAGTGCTGCTGCCGGCGGTGCTGGTTCGCGGGCCGCCTTCCTGCCCTGCACAGCTGTGCGGCACAGCCGATTAGAAACTGCTGTTCCACCCCAGAAATGACTGTGCTTGGCTGCGAGGACTTCACAGTGTGAGATAAGGTGCCAGCACCCGGCCCCGCTGAGGCCTGGCTCGGGCGTTGTCAGATACAGCCCATTAGCGGGAGAGCGCCGCGGGGAGCGATTCAGCGAGCAGCCTCTCACAGCTTCCCGGAATTACCTGGAAGATGTCCCGGGTCATCTGTCAGCATCAGAAGTGTCCTGCTCACCCTGCCGCGGGGGCCACAGGGAGCAGCACAGGCACCTCCAACCCTTGCCGCTGTCCCTGTGCCGGGGGCAACACAACCCACAGCTGCCCTGAAGCCCCTGAGCTGAGTCGGTTCAGCAGAGGACATTCTGCTGGGGCCACAGCACGGTGGAAGTCGACAGGGAGACTCTTGCTGGTGGGATTTTGCCGATGCCAGTGTGCCCCACAGCTCACAGCCCCTCTCCAGCCATCTGCCTCAGCGGAGAGCAAATCCTGGGGCGAGCAGCTGGTGGCACAGATGTGGGCTCCCCCCACTCCTGCCAGAGCTGCACTCCCATCCTATTCCCAGCATCTCCCCATGGGACGGCGGTGAGACCAAACCCATCCCAGACCTCACCGTAGCTGAGCGAGCGTGGCAGTGCGGGTCAAACGTCTCTGGGCCGTGGGGCAGCGATGTCCTACCAGGGAGCATCCCAGCTGCTCCTGCAGCACCAGCGGAAGGATGTGGGCAGCACGGTCCGGTCCCAGCACCGTGTCCTGAGCTGGGCCCCGTCACGGCTCAGGCCCGGCCCAGGGTGAGGGGGATTGGGCAGTGCTGGTAATCCTGCTGCACTCAAGGGATTACTGCTCGCTCTGGCCTGGGGATTAAGGGATTTCTCTAAGTGGGGTTGATGCAGCCTCCAGCAAAGCGGCTTGTGCCTGGGGGGCCTCGCTGTCTGGGGCAGGATGGATGCGTGGAGGCAGGATGGACTATGCAAGGTGTGGGGGATCCACAAAGGAGGGTGGGCTGCCACGTCCCCCAGCAGGCCAGGGGGTTCCCCACCCAGAGAATCCCTGTCCTCCTCAGGCCAGCCTGCACAGCCCTGTTTTGCCAGTGGGCACTGGCAACTTCTTGGCACAGGCTCAGCTGTTTCAGAGGCATCCTGGGACCATGGCATGCCCCTCTGCACCAGGGGATGCTGCTGGGGAAGCTGCCAATGATGCCCCAGCTCCTTCCTTGGCATGATGTGGGGTGAGCCAGGGCGAGTCGCTGGGCCCAGCTCGGGGGCTCCCAGATCGAAGGTGCAGGGACAGTGCAGGGGTAGCAGTGGGCTCGGAGAGCAGAGCTGGGTGCTCGGGCAGAGGCAGTTGGCTGGTTCTTCTCCTGAGATGTTTGGAGCAGAGAACGATGAGCCCCACTGCTGATGCTCACAATCACACGTCGGGGCTGCAGCCGTGGTTATTGTGACCCAGAGGTGTTTGTAAGCACCCCACCTCACCCAGGCAGGGTGCAAGGACCAAACTGAGCATCTGGATCACTCTGCATGGGAGATGCCACCTGGCCCTGCCTCATCCTGGCCACAGCACCCGTGTGCCCTATGGGAGTTTTTCCAGATGCCAGTCCAGGCCCCGGGCAGGTGCTTGCCACAGCTCAGCCCCACTGTGTCCCCAGCTCTCTTTGCCTGCCCTTTTGCCTCCCTGTGATGGGGCAACCACTGCTCTGGCCTCTGGGAAAGGGGAAGTGGTGCTGAAAGCAGGAGGTCAGTCACATCAGTGGTGAATGCCTGGCTGCCCTCGCAGCTCCAGAAGCTGCCCTTCTCCACTGTCTCTCCTTCTGTCTGTAGTCACAGTGCTCCCGGGAGCAGGGACTGCTCCTGCCTGCCAGGGTGCCCTTCCCCACTGCCCACCCCATCTGGGCTCCTGCCTGCCCCACTTGGGTTACTTCTGGCTCAGCGATCCCAGCGATTGTTGAGGCAGGCGAGCAGAGCTGCTGGGCTGCTCCTGCCCCAACAGGCCCTGGGGTTTGTTACTCATGGCCGTGCCCTGTGCTCAAGATCGCTTCTGCTTTGAGGGAAGGAGCTGTCAGTCCGGTTTGGGTTTGCTCAGTGCTTGTGGGGTAGGAGGGCAGGAGGGCTGCACCTTTCCCTAGCTCCACAGCTCTGCCTCAGGGGATCACAGGGCAAGACCCCCCAGTTCCTGCTGCAGAAGGCCCCCCACACTCCAGGATCAGAGCAGAGTGGGCAGCACCTCTGGGGCATGACCGGGGCTCGGCACCTGCACATGCCTGCACACAGGGCTGGCTGAGCCTGTCAGGCTGTGCCGGGGTCGGGGCCCGGGCCCTGCGCCCCGGGAGCGGGGGTTGTGGTGCTCCCCCACGCTCACACGCCGCGCTGTCTCTGGGTGCACCTTCCTTCATGCAGCGCTCGTTGCTACGCGACCGCCGGCTCCCGATGCTTAATGCTCTAATACGGAGGGATAAAACCACTCTAAAAATACCCCGCTGCCGGCCCCCTGCGGGGGCAAGGGGGCTGCTGGGGGGCAGGCGGCCTGGGCGCAGGGGCTGCTGGGGACTTCCCAAACTCCTCGTCCTCTAAGTGGCTTTGAGCCGTGGGCCGGGGCTCCGGCAGCGGCACGGGCTGGTGTGCCGGTGCGGCCGGGATTGGCTGGGACTGGCGCGTGGGCTCCTGCGGCTGGAGCTCCCCTGCCAGAGCCAGCTCCAGCCAGAGCCGGGAGTGCTCCGGCTGCCCTGCCTGCACCCTGCCCGTGGGCCCTGGCACCAGGGAGCCCGCTGCTCAGCCACGTGCACCTGCCTGGCCTCTGCCTGCTGCTACCTGGCCTCTGCCTGCTGCTGCCGGACCTCTGCCTGCGCCTGCCTTGCCCCCCGGAACTGGTGGCATCCTGTGTGGGACCCCTGCAGCATGGGGACAGTCAGCGAGCTCTGCGCCTCCAGTTTCCAGGCCTTCCTCTGCCCCTCGGTGGCTGCCAAGGCAGGTAGGAGCTGCGTGCCCCCCCTCCCCTCTGTGCTGCGGGGTCCCCATCCCCCAGCAGACACAGTGGTGCCCATGGCTCCAGCTCCATATGGCTCTAGCTCCATATGGCTCCTGCTGACAGCAGCACGTAGTGTCCTCGCTGTCTCGCTGCCTCCTTCCTTTGCCAGCCTCCCCAGGCTCGGTGCTCTGCAAGCACCAAGCCCCAGCAGGACAGACAGGCATGGGCCCCTTGTCTGGCATTGCCCTGCGCTAGAGCCAGTGCCACGCTAGGATGGGGGTTGTTTGGTAGCCAGTGGTGGCGGCTGGATGGTCACAGGCAGTGTGACCACAGCAGGTCCTGCCCCAGCCCCTCACCCCTGCCCTGCGATGTGTGAGCGCTTGGCTGCCCTCACCATGGCAAGTGCCTGTGGCTGTGAGGGCACCTTGGGGTGGCACTCTCCAAAGGGAATTCTGTGTGGGAAACCAGTGCCTGCCATGCGAGGGATGTGCTGAGGGCTGGCTGCCTGCGTGAGCTGCTGCTGTCTGTGGGTTCCTGCCTGGCTGTGGGACCGGCCAGCCCTGTGGCTGAGCAGCAGCGGGCTCTGCTCCTCCCGAGGCCTGGCATCGTGAGTGGTGCCGAGAGCAGATGAGGTGCCTGCCTGGCTGCACTCTTGGCACCTGCACAGTGTGTGATGCCTGTGGACGTGGCCGAGCCGGTGCTCACCTGGCCGTGCCAGGGGTCTGTGTGTGGGAGTGCTGGAGCCTGGAGCCACTAGGAGTGAGGCAACGGCTGTGGACAGGGGTTCCCTGCTGGCCTCTGGGTCGTTTTGTGAGAGTGCTGGGCAGGGTTGCACAAAAGTGGGATAAGGGCCCTGGGCCAGCAGCTTTGGAGGGTCTTTCTTGGAGCTGCCTGTTCTGAAACCCTTCTCCTGACGCACCTCGGCTGTCAGTGGGGAAGGAGGGGGCTGACGCAAACCGGGGTGTGCACACAGCACGGTGAAAACAGGATGTGGTGCGGGGAGACGGGCAGGAAGTTCCTGGGGGCCCCGTGGGACCTCACCAAGGGGCACGGTGGGCAGCAGCACCCACAGCAGCACCCTGGGCTTGTCTCCATGGTCTGTCTGACCCCGAGGCCGTTGCCCCTCTGGTGTGGCACAGCGTGGGCCAGCAGCACGGCTGGCTGGTGCTGTGCCTCAGGGGGCCAAAGGACATCCTGAGGCTTCTGAAGCCTGCCCTCCCCTCACTCCATAGCTGGCGTTCCTGGTGCTGTGCTGTGTCTCCATCTCGTGCTGCTGAGCAGGATTTAGCTGAGTCAAGGCGGCTGAGGCTGATGCGGCCTCTCCAGGCGGCTGACAGGGGACAGGGACAGGCTGGGTTCTCTTCCGCTGCAGCCACGGCACCGCAAGGCCCGGATTTGCTGCAAAGGGGTCCTGCATGGAGCAGTGGGGTCCCTATAGGCACCCTGGAGCAAGGGGGCTGCCGTGGACCCTGTGGACCAGTGGTCCCCACAGCTGGCACAGGACCTGGACCTGAAGTGGGGGGGGTCTAGCAGAGACGGGGGAACTGCAGGGCAGCGCTGGGGGTCTTTTGGGGTGGGGGGCCCAGCTGGCAGAGGGGAAGGGAGGGGACCCTTCATTGTGCAGCGATCTCAAGATGTGTTGGGTTGAGTGTCCTGGCAGCCCCCGAGGAAGGAAGGGCTGGGCCAGCCCCGAGGCCTGTCTGGCTGGGACCCCAGCACATCGTGTCCTCCAGCCCCGGGCCAAGGAGGGGCAACAGGGCCCTGCTTCCCTGTCCGGCCGGGAGCAGAGGAGTTAAGGTGCTGGCGACTGGCTCATGGCGGCAGGAAGAGGGTGTTGGTGGTGCTGGCTCCCGGGGAGGCTGGGATGACGCCCAGGCGGCCCTGGAGCTTATTGGTGCCGTGGCCCTGAGTCACCGCGGAAGCACTGGGGCGGCAGGTGCCCGCACCCGGCACGGCAGCACCTCTGCGGAGCCACCGGCAGCACAGGCACGGCCAGCAGGGCCAGTGTGAGGCCCTTCAGCGATGGTGCTCAGGGCGGAGGGCAGCGGTGAGCTGGGGTGTGGGGGTGAGGGGCGTGGGTGGCTCTGTGTCTGCCCCACTCCCCTGCTGCCAGCCCTGCCCACGGGCCTCAGGGCAGTGGACACAGCAGACAGGACAGAGCGTGGGGCGAGCACAGCCCCTGTGCCACAGGGCTTTGCTTTGGCTGCGGTGAGGAGGGGGCATGTGCTGTGGCTGCTGCTCCAGGGCGCTGCAGACCACAGCAAACCCGGAGCCTGAGACAGGTGGATAAATCCTGCCAGTGGCCCTTACTGCTCCTGGGCAGGGTCCTCAGCCTCAGCTGCCGGCAGCAGGAGATGTGGGAGCCCCTGGTCCTCTGTGCTGGTAGGGAGCCCTAACCCTGCTTAGAACCCCACGTCTGGTGGGTCACTGTGCAACTCCTGCCAGGCTGAGGCTGGGGGAAGCGCATGCTCCAACCTCCCCATCCGTCAACACTGCTCTGCTCGCAGCCAGGCCTGCTGGGGCTCCCCAAGGTGAGTGCTGTGCAGAGTCAGGGAAGGGTTAATGCCTCCTTCCTTCCCTAGAAAAGCTCCTGCGTCTGGGGTTTCTCTTCCTCTGGCTGCTGCTGACATGGCTGGGCCTCTGTCACGAGTGCTCAGCCTCCGCTTGGGAGGGACCTTCCGGGGCTCCGGAACAGCCCTGACATCCCTGCTGCAAGGCAGCGTCTCATCCTGCGCCGTGCCTGCCCTGGGGCCGCCGGGACCCCCACCCGCTCCCAGGTGGGCAGGGGGAGGCAGCGCCGAGGGCTCCCCTTGGCCCAGCTCCAGCCCTGGCACTGAATTTGACCTTCCCTGCAGCCAGACAGAAGGGTCCTGCAACCAGGTGAAAGGGTCCTGCAGCACATGCAGCAGCCCAGGGATTTGGGGGGTTCTGTGTCTGACAACGCAGCTCATTCCTCCTGCAGTGAGCCTGGGCTTGCTGGGCACCCTGGGGGCTGGGCATGGGGGGGCTGGTGCTGGTGGCAGCAGCACTGGGCCGTGTGGAAGGCGCTCAGATGCATCGACACAGCTCTGGTATTAGAAGTTTAAGTAACTTTTAACCTGGTGCCATGAGCAGACTTGTCTGATTCAGGCTTCCTGACAGGGAGACTGAAAATATTGGGAAGTGCTGCCGTCAGGTCTGAGACACAGTGTCACAAGCTGAGGCGCCTCAGCCTTGGCAGTGAGGGGTTTGCGAAGGAAGAAGCTCGTCAGAAACCGGAGCAGGGCTAGGGAAGTGCTGAGCTCAGAGATTCAGGGTGCGGGGTCACGGTCACCCCAGGGAGGCTCCCTCGGAGGCGGCGCGGGGAGAAAGAATGTGCAGTTGAGGATGATACCGGTCCAAAGGCACATGGTGTCCCTGGGCGCTGGCACAGGGCAGTGACCCTGCTGTGGATGCCCCGGTGAGTCTGGGCTGGCAGTGGTGGCCTGGAGCCCACGCATGTGGCACACGGGATGTCAGTGGGATGGAGGGTAACGCTTGGGGCAGGGGGGGATGTGACAACCCCCCAGGTTCCTGTCCCCAGCACCCCAGGGTGGGAGGTGGGGATGACACGAGAGCTGAGCCTGCAGGTGCTGCTGCCACCTCCCTTGGGGACTGCGCTCTGTAGGGATGGTGTTTTGGTGTCCTTGCGGGCGACCTTGGTGCAACGTGTGGAACTCTTTGGCAGAGGTGGGAGACACAGGCATAGGAGGAGAGCTGGGAGCACTGCTGGAGAAGCAGGTGACCTTGGCAACTGGAGGGAACAGGAATGGCATACCTTGTCATTGTGAGCCAGGAGGTCACGCACCAGGGAGCACTAGGAATGTTCTGGGAGCGAGGGGGGGCATGCAGCCGCCCTGTGGTTGAGCCTCAGATGTTGTTGGGGAGGGAGTGCCTGGCTCCCCGGGGTGACAGGGAGGTGTAGACATGATGTTCAGGAGAGTGTGCCAACTCCAGACCCTGCCCTGGAATGATGGATCCAGCGCAGAGTGGGCTGCAGGGATTGCTAGGAGTTGGTTTATGTTTGGGGCTGGCCCGGTATGGCAGAACAACCTGCGGGGCTCCAGGTCTGCATGGAGCCCGTGCCTTGGGGCACAGCAGAACTGCCCAGCCAGGGAAGGGCGCAGAATGGGTACCCACACCAGCCTGGCTGAGGTATAGCAGAGTGAAATGGGACATGGGGGGGCATCAGGGCCAGGGCCGGTGGGAGCAGCACTGGAGCTGGTCTGGGGGCTGTGCTGGTCCTCACTGGGCAGCTCCCATGGGTGGTGCCCAGCTCCCCGCTGCAGCCACTGCCCAGCGGGGCGATGCCCTGGCCCTCGCATTCCTTGCATGCCGTCAGTGCCACTTGGCCCCTGCGCAGGGCTGGGGACTGTTCATCAGCCCAGTTCCTCTGGGCAGCTGGCGGCTCCACGTTCTGGTTCCATCCAGGCCCAGGACTGCCAGCCGAGAGCAGAGGCTGTGCCAGGAGCACGTCAGGGCTGATTCCCGGGGCCACACGTGCTGACCTGACTGTATCTCTGCTCAGTGCCCAGTGACCTGACCCCAGAGGAGTGCCAGGAGCTGGAGAACATCCGCCGCCGCAAGCAGGAGCTGCTGGCTGACATACAGGTCTGATGCTGAGGGGTGACACCCACACAATTCCCCTGTCTCACAGAACAGCCTGAGAGGCAGAGGACCATCTCCCTGCTCATGTCACTGGCAGGGTCCCTGCAGCCCCATCCAGGGTCCCTCAACCCACTGCCCCACAGCACTGCCTCCAAGGGGCCCTGGGGACAGGGAGAGGGTCCCATCGGGGACGTGATCCCAGGTGGCAGCCATTAGGGTTGCTCTGCTCTGCTCTGCCGAGGCAGCCGTGGCTTTTCCTGTGCCCTGCAGAACTCCAGGCCGTGCAGTTGTGCCGTGCTCCGGAGCACTGGTGTCTGTGCCAGCCCCTGCCTGGCATGGGCAGGGACCGTGTCTCTGGGCCAGGCCACTGCCCTGGCAAGCGCCTGCGAGGTCAGAGCTCATCTGGGACACTGTCAGTCCTGTCCCCGATTAAGACAGCAGAGGCTAATTACTGCCATATGCTGGGCATGATCTGAAGGGATTAGGGGTAATTTTGTTAACCTCTGAATCTCTTCCTTCCTGTGTGCTGAGAGCGTTGTGATGCTGCAGGGATTAGCAGCGGGTGGGGGGGGGGGGGGGGGGTTGCAGCCAGCCCGTGCCCCCTGAGCTGGTTCAGCCCCAGGGCAGTGCTTGAGGGCGGGAGGGGGATGGAGAGAAGAAAGAAAGGAGGGTCTGCAGGGCTTCCTGGAGGAATGGGGCTGCCTCCAGGGCTGAGGGCTGGAGGGTTTGGGGTGGAGGCCCCTCCAAAGTGCCCTCTCCCCACAGCGCCTGAAGGATGAGATAGCAGAAGTGACAAATGAGATCGAGAACCTGGGCTCCACCGAGGAGAGGTGAGTCCCAGCCCAGGGCCCCCTGTGGGATCTGAGCCCCCTGTGGGATCTGAGGGCAGCTGAGCCCTGGCCCATGAGTACTGGTGTGGGCGGCTTTCCCAGGCGCTCTGGGCTCCTGGGAGCAGGATCCCAGGCTCAACTGCTGCTCCCAGGTCTGTTTTCCTAAGCCCCAGCCCCTCTGTCTGGACACCGCCACTGTCGGGCTTTGTTATTCTGAGCTGGTGCAGGCGGTGCCAGCCGGGATTAGGGGTCCCAGCAGCTGGCGGGAGCCGACTCCCAGCGCCGTCCCCAATCACCCATTGGGGCATGAAGGCTGTCCCCTCCCGCCAGCCCCTCTGCTCTCCCAGAGCCCCGCCGCAGCCAGCTTACCCGAGCCTCCCCATGCACGGCTGACCTGACAGGTGTCGTACCTGCACCCCCTCCGTTCAGGGTGACCCCCAGAGTGGGTATGGCAGCTCTGCTCTGCTCTGGGGCCCGGCAGGCCAAGAGCAGCCCTGGGCCACGGGGCAGACACGGAGCAGTGTGTCGGCTTCGCCCCACGGGGGGCCAGCGTGGGGGCCTGGCTGCCGCCGTTCCGGGCTGACCCTCGCGGCAGTGCACTGCGCCGGGGGCCGCGCAGAGGCAGCAGGTCCCTGCTGGATGCTCAGAGCTGCTTCATGTCTTGCAGGAAAAACATGCAGAGGAACAAACAGGTGGCAATGGGCAGGAAGAAATTCAACATGGATCCCAAGAAGGTACCGTGGAGTGGGAAGCAGGGCTGGTCACCAGCCTCTGAGACCGTGCTGGGCTCTGCCACCTCCCAGTCTGGATGCCTGAGCCAGGGCAGAGCCCGTGGGCAGGGGCTGGGGTCAGCAGACAGGCTGGCGGAGGCAGCAGCAGACCTCTGAGTAGCCCCTCTTGCACTGCTCCAGGGCATCCAGTTCCTGATTGAGAATGACCTGCTGAAGAACACGTGCGAGGACATCGCTCAGTTCCTGTATAAGGGAGAAGGCCTCAACAAGACGGCCATCGGCGACTACCTGGGCGAGAGGTGTGCTGGCCTCGGGTCTCCTGGGGATGTTCTGGGCTCCTGCCGCCTGAGAGATGGGACACTGCAGCTCTGAGCTCACAGGGCAGCCAAGTGGGGGTACCCGGTGTGCTGGGGGCAGTTGGGGGTGTTCAGTCCATGGCTGGCGCTTGCGAGCGGCTGGTGTGTGCAGATGAGCCCAGTACACGAGCTGGGGGTAGCTGCAGCTTTCCCCCATGAACGAGCAGAGTTTGGAGCAGGGCAGGGACAGTGGGGCTGCTCGGCAGTCACAGGATTGCTGATCATGCACCCCTCGTGCTCTGGCTTTGTTCCCACAGGGATGAGTTCAACATCCAAGTCCTGCATGCCTTTGTGGAGCTGCACGAGTTCACCGACCTCAACCTCGTGCAGGCCCTGCGGTGAGCGAGGGGCCAGGAGCTGAGTGTGGCCATCTGGGGGATGGCGGGGGACCATGATGGGCCAAGGGACCGTGGAGCCCCCAGATCGGCGCCACAACTTGCTCTCCACAGGCAGTTCCTGTGGAGTTTCCGGCTGCCCGGGGAGGCGCAGAAGATCGACCGGATGATGGAGGCCTTTGCGCAGCGGTACTGCCAGTGCAACCCCGGCGTCTTCCAGTCCACAGGTGAGCACCTGCCCCAGACCCTCTCCCTGGCATCCTGCCCCGCAGCTGACTTTCCCTTCTGCCCCTACAGACACGTGCTATGTGCTGTCCTTTGCCATCATCATGCTGAACACAAGCCTGCACAACCCCAATGTGAAGGACAAGCCCACAGCAGAGCGATTCATTGCCATGAACCGCGGCATCAACGACGGGGGAGACCTGCCCGAGGAGCTGCTCCGGGTGAGGGCCAGGGCCTGGAGGGGCCAGGGCCAGGCTGCAGAGCTGGCCTGGAGCAGGGCCTGCTGCAGGGCTCCAGGGCAGAGCAGAGCTGACACCGTGTGTCTTTGTACCAGAATCTCTATGAGAGCATCAAGAATGAGCCCTTCAAAATCCCTGAGGATGATGGCAACGACCTCACCCACACCTTCTTCAACCCTGACCGGGAGGGCTGGCTCCTGAAGCTTGGTGAGTGCTGATGGCCAGGGAGGGCAGGCTGTCCCCAGGGACAGACCTGGGACGTGGGTGCAATGCCTCTGGGCTTCCCACACTTCTTCTGCTGCCCTGGCTCTTTGGAGCTTGAGTGGGCTGCAGAGAGAGTCACAGCCCCTTCGGGAAAGGCGTCCATACATCCTGCAGCCCTCCATCTTCCCTTGGCTGGGCAGCAGGAGTGAACTCAGAGCTGAGGAGGCCCTGCAGAGTGGCTGGGCGGGCATCCCAGGGGATTCTGCCTCTAGGTTGGGCAAGCCCCCGAGGTGCAGAACTGGTACCAAGGTCCAATGTCAGAGCACAGAGACCTTGAGGCCCTTCAGGTCACCGAGTCACAGCAGGGTGTGTCGGAACAGGCCCCTGGGAGTGAGCAGCGAGCTGCCCCAGGCTGCGTGTGTCCCCCCTCCATGCCACAGACAAGCCCCTGCCTCACCTTCCCACAGCATTATCACCTCTGCATCCCAGCTCCACATGCAGGCAGCGTGCATGGCATCCCTGCTGCACCGCCCGGCTCCCGCAGCCGGAGCCCTCCGCACCCTGGCTCCTGTGGCTTCTCTTCTCAGCACCTCTGGGGAATCCTCTGCATGGGTCCAGTGGGGGGGGATGGATGCTGGCAGGATTGGAGTCCAGTGGGGCCTTTCCCTGGGGTTCTGGCTGGGGTCAGGATTCCTGATGTATGGCCATCCCCTCGGGAGGGGGAGAGGCCTTATCCCTGGCTCAGGGGATGAGCAAGAGCCACCTGCTCCCCACCCTGAGGTGGGGGGGACTCAGGGAACAGCTCCAGGCTCTCCTGTCTCTGACAAGGCCAGCACCCAGCAGGTGGAGGGGCCTGGTGCACAAAGGTTCACGTTGGCACTGCCACTATCGGTGGACAGGCGGGCAGAGAGGCAACAGAGTGGCCGTGGACCCCAACTCGCTTGTAGGGAAGGGAGAGACCCCGTGGGTCAACCATGGGGTGGAGGGAGCCAGGCCCTGTGCCCAGCAGCTGAGGAGCCCCATCCCACAGAGCCACAGTGAGCCAGGGCAGTCGGCCCCCACGGCCATGCCGCCAGCCTGACCCCTCACAGCTTCCCTGCTGCAGCCTGGCCCCACTGACCCGCAGGGCAAGGGGGGGCTTTGGGATTCCTCTTTTTATTTTTTTCCCTTTTTTTTTTTAATTTTCTTTTCTCCCTCATTTGTATGTTTCCATGATTTTGGCTCTTCCTTTCCCTGCCCCCCAACTCCAGGAGGTACGTACCCCTCTCCCGTGCTCTGCTCACACTGCTGGGGCTTCATTTCCTTTGCGTTTTTAATTGCTGGTGATGAGTCTCATTGCTGCTGCTGCTGCTGCTAACCCCGCACCGCCCGGGGACCTCGCCTGCCGCGGGACAGCACTGCTCTGCCACCAGGCAGGGAGTTGGGGTGTGGCCCCACCGATACCACACTCTCCTCAAGGCCTGTGGCCTCCTCCACCGCCCTGGGGGAGGACAGGGCCGCAGTGGCTCCTTGCCCAGCTGCTGGCCGGGGTGTCCCGCCCAGCCGTGCTTCGCCGTGTCCGCAGGCAGCTCAGCCCGGTCAGTGTGTCTTCGCCTCGGGTGCCACGAGGGATGGGAATGGGTTTGGTGTGTCCTCAGCAAGGACTGTGTGCGGGGTGCTCAGGGGTGCCAAGTGCCTGGGGCTGGATGGAAGCAGGCAAGAGCCACCTGCATGGTGCCCTGTGCTGTGCCAAGGGCTCACAGCAGTTCCTATGCGAGCACCGCACCGGTGCTGCCCCGGCTCCAGCACCTGCACCCCAGCATTGGTGCTGGCTCTTGGAACTACTGTGGGGCAGGGACTGGGGCGGGCACCCAGCTGGCATGGGGGAACAGGGGACACAGTGCACACCGTGGCTCCCTGTGTCCATGGCAGAGCCAGTCCTCAGGGGTGGGTGCTCATCCCACATCTAGCACTGTTGCAGTGGCCGCGGTGGAGGGGAGCCGAGCCCAGGGGTGAGTGGCCCCTGTGCCCATGGAGTGGCTTCTCCCACTGTGCTAGGCTGCAGAGCTCAGCCGTGGCTCAGCATTGGGATGAGGGGGGACTGTGGTCAGTGTGGACAGAAAGTCCCCATGTCCCCTGGGGAGCTGCCTGGCTGCAGTATCCTCTAGCTGTGCTGAATTCATGTTTGGGTGGGAACGGGCTCAGCACTCCCGGCCCGGCACCCCAGCCTCGCCTCCATCCTCATCCGTCTGCTTCCCGCTCCGGCTCGGTGCAGTGTGTGCTGCCTGCTGCTGCTGCCCGCCGCTGCCTGGCTCTGCTTGGCTCTGTGTGTCCGCCCGGGCCCTGTGCTGCTGGAGCCCGTGTGTGTCCGCCTGGCTCCCGCGCTGCCATGTGCCATGTGCCCGGCTGTGCCTGCAGGGCTGTGCCCGACTGTCCCTCTCTGCTCCCAGGAGGCAGGGTGAAGACATGGAAGCGGCGCTGGTTCATCTTGACCGACAACTGCCTTTACTACTTCGAGTATACAACGGTGAGTGGGCTCTGCGTGGGCCGAGCCAAGCCGGGGCAGGGAAGGGGCTGGATTGGGAGTGTCCATCCCACAGCTAAACCTCTGCTTGGCCGTGCCAGGATAAGGAGCCCCGTGGCATCATACCCCTGGAGAACCTGAGCATCCGTGAGGTGGAGGACTCAAAGAAGCCTGTGAGTGCTGCAGCAGTGTCCTATGGGGCTTGGGGGTAGCCTTGGTGCTTTAGCTTGGGTGGGGAAAGCTGGGAGATGTTACAGCCCCCCAGGATGCCCCTAGGAGAGGCGGGGGGCCCCCGCAGCAGTCATTGCCTCCACCATCACAGCGGCCAGGTGCAGTCACTGCAGTGACCAGGACTGGTGGCAGAGCTTGTGCAGGGCCATGGGGTGATGAGCACGGCGTGTTCATCCCTCTGCCATGCTGGGGTGGTTGTGCTGGGGGAGCATAGCTCTGCCTCATCCCTCCCAGCCTGGGGTCCCCTTTGGAAGGGGAGGGGGCTACCTCTGAGCAGTCTTTCCCTCCCAGAACTGCTTTGAGCTCTACATCCCTGACAACAAGGACCAGGTGATCAAGGCCTGCAAGACAGAGGCGGATGGGCGTGTGGTGGAGGGGAACCACACTGTGTACCGCATCTCTGCCCCCACACCTGAGGAGAAGGAGGAGTGGATCAAGTGCATCAAGTGAGTGCCCAGAGAAGTGTGTGGGGGCACAGTGCTGGGCAGGGGCACGGCGGGGACTTATCTGCTACCCTTGAAGGGGACAGTGCTTCCCAGGGCACCCTGCAAGAACGGGGGGAGTGAACTTTCCCAGGGACATAAAGGGACATGCCCAAGGCCCGACCAGGCAGGTCGCACCCAGCCCTGCAGTAGTTTGGCCTGACCCAGCCTTTGTTCCCCTGCCAGGGCAGCCATCAGCCGGGACCCCTTCTACGAGATGCTGGCTGCCAGGAAGAAGAAGGTCTCCTCCACCAAGAGGCACTAGCAGCCAGACTGGCCTTGTGAGGCCAGCATGCCCTCGGCAGCCCAAGCGTCCCCCTGTCCCGGGGGTCTGTGGGGCAGGGGCTGCACTGCAGCCTGGCCCTAGGGTCCAGGGCCCAGCTTCAGCTTCACTGTTTCTTTTCCGTGAGGGGAGGGAGGGGGCACAGGCATCTTGGTGCCTCTGGCCCTCCATCACTGCCTCATCACCAGGACGGTGTCTTCATGGGCTCAAGCTGGGACACAGCACCCCTGGGAGCTCCAGCCTCAGCACCACAGGCACCCTCCCTGCTCCTGACCCCCAGCAGCCCTGCGGCTGGACATGGCGCTGCAGCCCCCCAGCACCCGTGTCCAGACACTTGGAGTGTCCCGTCAGGAGGATGAGCAGCTGTTAGTGAGTAGCTGGCAGTTTTGGGGTGCCACAGGTGCTGGGGTGCAAGGCATCAGGCCCAGGGAGGCCCTACAGAGACACAGCTCCCGGCCCTCGTTGTAGCGGGCCTGGGTCTGTCCTGGGTGTCCCCACGCTGCTGCCTCAGACCCTCACAGCTGCCCCCTGCACCAGGAGCGGTCCCCGTGTGCACAGGAGTGCCGAAGGGCAGGGACTGTCACCATCACGGTCTGCAGTGGTGCCACACAGGGCACAGACATGCCCTCGTCCAGCCATGGAGGCTGTGGCTTGGATGAGGTGGCACTGGGTGGCATTGCCCCTGGCACATCCTTGCAGCACAGTCCTCTCATGCCAGGGTGGCATGGTGCCATGGTGGGACATGCCCAGAGCTGGAGCCTGCCCTGAGAATGGCTGTGGTGGGGGTCTGGATGGGTGGGGGCTGCATCCCCCACTCTCTGCCTCACAGTCCGCCCATGTCATGTCCTGTCCCTGTCCCCGCGCATGGTCTGGAGACTCCTGGATCAGTATTAGTCTATTTATCAGAGGTGTAAATACTCCTGTATAGTTTTCTCCTTGTAGATTATTTTGTATGTGGGTGGTTCAGTGCAGAGGCCCCGTGGGGCGGGGGGGCAGGATTTTTTATTCTAACATTTTTTTTTTTTTTTGCCATGGCCTTGTAAACTAGTGCTGAGGATTGGCAGCAAATAAACACTGCACTGCGCTCCACTTGGCCTCCTGTGCTCTGTGTGCAGCTCGGCGTGGGCAGGAGTCCCGTGCCCCCATCACTGCCAGCTCCTGCCCTGGCCTTGAACCAGGCTCATGCTCCTCTCAGCCCGAGGTCTCCTTACTGGCACCGCAGCGATGCCATATTGGATGAAGTGGCAGCACTGGGGCCAGTGCAGGTCTTGTTTTGAGCCTCTGCCTGCTCCACTTCAAAGCCCCATGTTTTCTTGGTGTACTGGGGGTGTTTGTGAGCCTTGTGCCCTCACCAGCTGCCCCTGTCCAGGACAGTGCCTTGGGGACCTTGCCACAGGGCATGGGTGGCTGGACTGGGCTGGGACAACTCCTGGTCCTGCATCCTGCTGTACAGTGGGTCTGGCACCGAGCTTGGCTGGGCAGGGGGGTGGTTGCCCACCACAGTGGCACTCACTGCACCATTCAAGGGGCCTGGGACAACAGAAGTGGTGGGGCATGCACTCAGGTACCTCGTTCTGCAATGGGGCTGGGGGATTCATACCCAGGTGGTACCAGCTGTGAATGGGATCAAAGCCAAGTTGGGGACAAGGGCAAGCCAGGAGCACAGAGCCTGTGCCAGCCCTGCTGCTGCCACCAGGGCGGGGGGGGGCTGGTCCAGCCTTGCACACTTGTGCCATGGTGGGGGTCTGCCAGAGCCAAGGGCATTCCCTGACAGAGCCAGGGGCATTCCCTGCTGTGGTCTTTGCCCTCCCTGTGCCTCAGATGGGGCAGCCCTTGGCACCGTGGCCTGACTCGGGCCAGGGTGACCACCAGCCCCTGCTGAGGGACGAGGACGTGGTGGGGCAGAGGGCAGCCCTGCAGTTGGGCTGGTGCCAGTGCCGGTTGGGCTGGTGCTGGGGTCAGTTGGGGCGCAGGCTGTGTCGGTTGAACCGCAGATGGGGTCAGTTGGGGTGCAAACGGTGGCTGGAGGCTGTTGGAGGGTTGAGGAGTGCAGCAGGGCAGGGGAGCAGTAGAGCCAGGTAGGATTGGGGTGAGCCAGGGGGGCAGAGGGGCCAGGCAGGGGTGGGGCAGGTTGGGGGGCGATAGGACTGGGGGTAATGAGGACCGGCAGGGATAGAGCAGGTCGGTGGCTGATGGGACTGGGGGTGATGAGGACCGGCAGTTCCCCATGAGACTGCATGTACACAGGGAAGGCTGAGGGCAGTGGAGGGGTGGGACGGGCAGTGGGGAGGGTCAGGGGGTCGCGACGGGCAGTGGAAGGGTGGGACGGGCAGTGGGGAGGGTCGGGGGGTCGCGACGGGTAGTGGAGGGGTGGGACGGGCAGCGGGGAGGGTCGGGGGGTGGGGTCGGCGCAGCCTCTATCTAAGCGGGGATCCGCACGCTGGATCCGCTCAGGTGCTGCGGGGCCGCGGTGCTGCCGCAATGTCGGCCGGGCAGGACCCACGGCTTGCTTTCATGGAGAGCTTGGTCACGGTGTTGCTGCGCATCTCGACGGACAAATGGGGCAAGTTTGTGAGCAGCGAGGAGGTCACGACCATGCTGGACAAGTTCTTCAAACAGCAGGATGCGCTGGAGGTGGTGTTGGGGCTGAACCCCTCCGGGCAGCTCATGCCCACTACGGGCTTCCCATCTGCCCTAAAGAGCAAGGGCATCTACTTTGTGAAGAAGAAGGGGGAGAACATCACCCAGGAGAACTGCCAGAGCGGTCTGCTGGTGGGAGACGTTGGCCCCTCACCTGTGGAGCAGCTCATCACCGTGCTGCTGGAGGTGGGTTGCCCGCACAGGCACAGGTGGGGCGAGTGGGATGAGCTGAGCTCCCCGGGCACAGTGCTGTGCCGGGATGCCTGGTGCAGGCTGCTAAAGCCAAAATTCCAGGTGGTCTCCAAAAGAAACAGAAATTTATAGAAAAAACTTGCCCCAGGCAGTGGCCCTGACCTTTTGGTGACTCCTGTGCTAGGCTGCATGAGCCCCACCAGGACAAGAGCTGGGGGAAGGTCACCAGCCCAGTTTTCTCCTGGGCCCAACTAGATCACTTCCTCCCTGTGGTTTTAGAAACTCATTGTAATGTCCCCTCCCCCCTGCCCCACATCTGGGAAATTTCTGAGTGGATTTCTCTCAAACTTCCCACGAATATTCCCAGTGCCAGCCCAGAGTACCCAAAAGTTGCACTGGCCCCAGGAGCCCCCATGATTCCCCTGCAGTGCCGGGGGCTTTTGCCTGTGTTCCAGCCCCTGACCCTGCTGGGTGCTCTCACTGTGCCACTCCCAACACTTCCCAGCCCATGAGAGCTGGAAACCCAGACCAAGGGGGCTCCTGATCACACTGATGACAGGAACATCAGGAAAACCCATTGGTGGCCGCTGGAGCTGTGGCTGGGCTGAGACTGTGCTGTGATGGGCAGCGAGAAGGGACACTGGGACGGGCAGCACGACCACCCACTGCCCTGAGCACGGGAGTGCCTGAGAGAGCACCCAACCCAGCCTTGTCCTCCAGGTTGTGTCCCCCCTGCTCCTGAGTGAGGAGCAGGGGCTCGGCTGGCCCAAGATGGTGGTGGAGGATGTTGTGCAACAGACCCACCAGCTGCAGAACAAGATGTTTATGATGGGCGGGAAGATCCAGGGGAAGCCGCTGCTCCCACTGCCTGAGCACCTGATCAGCTGGGACGACTCCGGCGCCGCCTTGGACTGGTGGGTGCTGCTGGCACCACTTGGTGCCAGAAAAGGCAAACAGGGGCCCAGGCAGCGCAAGTTCCTCAGGGAGGAGGAACTGGGACACTGGCTTAGTCCCTGCACACCCCTGGGCACAGCCACCCCTGCAGCAGAGAAGGTTTGAGGGGCCCATGCCAGGCCTCTGCACAAGCAGGCACGAGGGGCTCCCCCGGCTGTTTGGGGTTCCCCTGGGGCAGTTTATGGCTCCTCTGGGGCATAACCTGTCTGCCTTTCAGCCTGGTGGGGCCTGCAGACGGTCCAGTGCTGCACTCCATCGAGACTGTCATCGTCGAGTGGTCCCAGCAGATTGAAGAGATCTTGAGCCAGGACTCAGCACGGCTGCTGCTGGAGGGAGTGCACCCCCTGCCCAGGGTCGAGTTTGAGTTCTGGCAGACGAGGATGACCAACCTGCAGTGTATCAATGACCAGGTACTGCCTCACCCGCAGTGGACTCCCCGTGCTGAGCCCCCCGTGCTGAGCCCCCTATGCTGAGCCTGCCACCTCTCCTGTACCAGCTGCTCTCGCCCCAAGTGACAGTGCTGGCCAAGACGCTGGAGAAGGCCAACAGCTGCTACTGGCCATCATTGCAGAACATGTTCAAGGCTGTCAATGCTGGTGAGGCCCCCCAGTTCCGTGTTGGAGGGGTGGGGACCCTGTTCCTCAGTGTTCGGCTGGATGTGGTGGTGACGTGGTGGTGGCTGCCTCTGACAGGGTGTCCCCATCCTGACCCAGAGTTTTCTCCCTGTCCCAGGCCTGGAGGAAGCCAAAGATGTCAGCCTCCATCTGCAACCGCTGCAGGTGCTGCTGGAGGAGGTGGAACAAGCGGATTATTCCCAGGTAAGTAATGTGGCAAAATAACCAGGCACAGCCTGGCTGCCTCATCTGGGTGGCGGCGAAGAGCCCCAGAGGCTGCAGGGGGGGCACATGCCCCCAGCTCTGCCATGTCCCCACACTGATGGGGCTCTGCTCCCACAGCTGCAGCCCTTTGTGCCCAAGGTGCTATGCACTGTCTGCCTGCTCCGGGTTCACTGCCAGCTCTACCACTCACCCGCCCACGTAGCCCGTGTCCTGCAGGAGATCTGCAACCTCCTCATCACCATGGTACAGCCCCAGCACCGACCCACATCCCCTCCAGCTGCCCCACTGGGACAGGTGTGGGGAGTCCAGCTGCGGTGACACAGAGACACCCCAGACAAGGGAACAGCAGAGGCCCTTGTAGGGCTGGGGGGGTCTGGGGCAGGCAAGGGCTGCAGGTGGCAACCAGCAAGGCCATGGGGATGAAGGGGACAGGAGGAGCCTTCACACCCTCCTGACAATAGTCCCTGCCTGCATCTGTCTGTCCCAGACCCAGAAGTTCCTGAGCCCTGAGGACGTGCTGAAGGGGCTGCAAGGAGAACCTCAGGAGACCCTGGAGGGAATCAAACTGAGCATCTCCACAATAGAGAAGTTCTTCCAGTCCTACAGCACTTACTGCTCCAACCTGATGCCCACGTTGTTCCCGGTGAGTGTAGGGACAGTGTGCAGGCACCCAGCCCCCTCCATGCCAGCCCCACTGACTGACAGACCCTTTCCCCTCCCAGGAGGAGCCACAGCTGTGGGAGTTCCCCCCAACCCGTACCTTCAGGAGGATGGACGCCTTCTTACACAGGCTCAAGACCATCGAGGTGACAGCACAGCATTTTGGGGCACAGTGCCAGCTGCAGCTGGGCCTTCCCTGCCATGGGGATCCTGGGGTGGTCCCTGAGAGCAGCACCGGGTGGGCTGGGGCCGCTGAAGCAATGGGACATTGCTGGGAGCATTGTGGCACCATTCCCAGCACAGCCCTCCTGGCCCTGAGCCCACAGGACAGGACGGCCACCCCCCAGCCAGGCCAGGGAGCATCCCTGGGAGAATGGTCCTCAGGAATGGTTCATGGGCAGGATGCAGCCCTGTGCCAGTGCTGCAGCTCCTGCACCTGCAGCCTGGGACAGGGGGAGCCAAGTGAAATGGGGGTTTGTGCTTGCCAGGAGCTGTTCCAGGCAGCCATTGACTTCCTGAAGCTGGAGAAGACAGTTCTGGGAGGGGTGCGAGGAAACTTCCTTGGGAACTGGGTGTTGCGGATCTCCGAAGAGGTCTGTGAAGTCACCAAGAGTTTTGCTGATTGCAAATATGATCCCTTGGATCCCAATGAAGAGGTGAGCAGATGCTGGGATGGAAATGTAATGGATGCTGGGATGGAGGTGTAAACATTTGCTAAGTGAGAAGAAAAAAATCTCTTGCCAGAACACACTGCAGAGCAGCCCATGGGACTGTCCCACAGCAGCAGAGGGCTGGCTATGGGGC